CCCATTTAGGAGCAAAGAAGTTGAATGTGGGATCTGTCCGCATTGGGCAGATGAAATAGAAGGATAAGGATCTAGGTTTTTTACAGGAAAATAAGTTATCAGTCACTGGGTTCATGTTCAGGTAGGCAAGAAGGGACAAAATAGAATCTATTCTTTTTTTTTTTTTTTCTTTTTCAGTTTTCACTATTATCATTTCTAGTCCTGCTCACCATAATCTCTTTTATAATAATATTCTAAATCAATTCTCCCTAAATCCACTTTTGTTTCCTCCAAACTATTTTTCTCATTGCAAGTAGGGTTATTTATTTATTTATTTATTTTGATAATTCAAGTTCAGTTATGTCCTGTCTCTTCTTACAGCCCTTTAATGGCTTCTCCTTACTTTTAGGATAAAATCTGAGTCTTTAACAAGGTCCACCAGGCCCTCTTTTCATCCTCTTTTTGCATTCATCTCTCTGTTCCTTCCTGCCACAGAATGTTGATACATTTTTCCTCTGCTCGGAACACTCTTTCCCAATTTGCCTCTCTAGTTTCTACTTATTCTTCGATGTATTATCACTTCCTTGGGAAAGCTTTTCCTGTCTCCATATGGGAGATAACACCTTTGCCCTCAACATTTCCTTAATAAATTATAATTGTGACATTTTTTGGTTTTCTTTTTCCATACTAGAAGCTTTGTGAGGGTAGAAATTGTTTATAGTTCACTGTTGTGTTCCTAATCCTGATCATAATGCCTAACACATATTAGGCACTCCATGAATTTTTGTTCAACTAACCAATAGGGTGATTAAATATTTGGATGTCTTAGTCTGAGATGTGGATGTCTTGGGGAGAGAGAGGAGGTTTAATAGTAAAGAGGAAAAGCTGGAAGGAGATGAGGGGTAAGATGTTGGGAGTTGAAGATTTAAAAGTAGAGTAGTTTCAGGAGATAGTAGAATCCAGGATTGAGCTGTTGGAATAGAGATGGAGGTCTTCAAATCTGATGAGATTATGAAATTCTGGGGCAGAAATGTAGATGGATTGTTTAGGTGGGTGTTGAAACTGCTGAGGAAAATATAAGCTAGTATCTAAGTCTTAAATAAATATGGAAGATAGATTAGTGAATGAATTAAATGGGTAAGAATCATTGGGAATAAATAAAGCCCTAGTCCCTTGGGAGGCAGTGTGGTAGAGAGAGCATGTGTTCAAAATATCTGTGTTCAGATTTTGAGCAACCCATCTGATTTGTACAGCCTTATTTCTCTTATTTGTAAACTGGGAATAATAAGCCTGCTGCAGGAGATTTGTAATTAATGATTAAGATATTGTTTTTGAAAGTGCTTAGTATTAACTTGTTTTTTTTTTTTTAAGATATATATATTTTTAATTGATTTCAGAGAGGAAGGGAGAGGGAAAGAAATAGAAACATTAATGATAGAGAATCATTGATTGGCTGCCTCCTGCACACCCCCTACAGGGGATTGAGACTGCAACCCAACCTTGGCATGTGCCCTTGACCAGAATCGAACCCTTCAAACTGGCTAAGGCTTAACTTGTTTTTTTTGTTCTGGATTGTTGGTATTAGTTCAACAGGGCACTGAAGTAAAAGTTGGGATGAAAGGCAAAGATAGCAGCATAAATGAATTTGGAATAAGGTACCCGATTTCATTTATTCCACATGTTGAGTTCATATAGGATCAACACAAATATTCACAAATGAATATAGGTAAAAGCAAGTACTATTACACAAGAGAGGATTTTGTAAAATAGAGGTCACTTGCTGGCTTATAACATTGCAGTGTTGATCCACAATAAATTTTCATGTAAAAAATGCTTAATCTAATCATTTTCTATGAAAATTTCATCATTCCTGGGAGATTTTTCTTTTGTTATGGAGAAGAGAACAGGACCATTAAGTGAAAGGCATAGGTGGAAGAGGGCTGGTGATTTAAGTTTAGAAAAGTATTTCCTAACAGAGCTGTCTAACAATAAAATGGACATCCTGGCAAAGGATGAGTTCTCTATCAAAGCTTGTATTCAGGTGGAGACTGGATGATTGATCTGTCAGATAAAATAGAAGGCTTTTTGCATGGGGGCCGACTGTAGATTAAATAATTGCTGAAGTCCCTTCCAATTGGAAGATTGGAGGATTTTAACTCCATTTGAGACTTGTTTAAATACCGTTCAGTCAACAGCTATTTGAGTGCTTCTTCTGTTTCTTTTGAAGGTTTGAAAACCAGGCTCATGTTTGCTTCGTTTCCTTCCTGTGTTCTGAGACAGTGGGAAAGATTGAGTCTCAGTCATTGCCTTGGATATTCCCATCTGGAATTTGAGAAGCTCAAGCCAGGTGTTGGTCATGATGTAACAAAAGCTGCTGTCCTCACCTGTTGGGTAGGGTTAGGGTGGAGTTTGTGGCATGCACCTGGAGATATCAAATATAAGAATGTGCTGCCAAGAAGTATGGTTTAGTGCTTTGAGATTTTTAGCAAGTCAAGATCTATGATGCTTTGACATTGTTAGTTTTCACTGGCTTCTCTCACTCAGAAGCCTAGTCTGTGTCTGGCTGGGAAATTGCCTCTACCTGCCTGTGGCTTAATCAACTTTTTTACTGAGCACTTTTTTGCTGATTCCTACTTGTTTATTGTGTGTTTCCCACATTCTTTCAGGAGGTTATTAAAGTGGATTTACTAAATTCCTTTGTATGTTTGTTTTTTTATAAGATTGAAATTCATTTTCAAGCATGCTCTTGGTTTTGGATTATTAATGCATTTCAGTTATATGGGCTGCCACTATCTCCTGTGACCTAAGACAGTGACTGAAAAGGACCTAGAGAAGGAATTCCTATCTGTATTAGGGGAGGGAAAAGCCACTCATTCATCTATGAATTGTGAAGGAACTTAATTCTTAAGTATTGAGTATAAGGAACGAATATATTTTAAAACATTCTGAATTTGACATATCTTAGGTAAAAGTTCTTTATGTCTTTGTAGCCTTTTCTGACAATTGTGATATTGAAATGAAAGTAAATTAGGCATTGATAATACATAGACCAAAAGAGAATGTAAGTATTATAGTTTATGAGACTGTAGTGAACTAAAGTTCTTTTTTTTTTTTTTTTTAAATCTGGAAAGGATTTTAGAGGTCATTGACTCCAAGTCTAGGTTATAAAAGAGGCAACTAAAATATTGTACATAATTTAACAAAAGTCACCCAGCTAATACATATAGGTGTAGGCAAAATCATATGATATGAGGATGGTGGAAATAGTGACAGTACAGCTGATGTCTCTTTAGAAAAGAGAGTTTCTAAAACTTTAAGACTGGAAAGGCCCTTAGAAATAGAGTGATATGAAGTACCCTAGAATTTCTGATCTTCTAAGTTAAGCATCAATTGATTAGTTTGGTGGTAGCTAATGTGAAGGTTCACTTAATCATTTATTCATCAGGCATTGACCACTACAGTATTGTAGATGTATGTTAGATGTTGGGGCTATAAATATGAATAAAACATGTCCCAGCATTCGTAGATCTCTTGTACTACTGGAACAGCACAAGAGAGAATACTTTATATTTTGTTGTCTCTCTCATATAAAAAATTCATTGTTATCAAGTTAGTGACTTCTACTGGGCTTATAACCCCCAAATGATTTCCTTAATATTTCTAAGGAATGCAGAAAATCAAGATCTGATCACAACACTAAACAAGCTATGACCTGGGGTCAAGGGTAGTATGAAGATAAACATCTCTAAGATGTTTCTGATGAGACAGACACTATTACCTTAGAGAATTCTACTTTTGCCTTCCCCCAAAGAAAGGAGATTGGTAGGTGTGGTAGGGCAGGTGTGTACCTGATGACTTTATTGTAAACATCCTGTCTGATAGGGTAGAATTTAGTTAGAGATTGTCCTTCACTCCATTATTGCTTTCTCAGCTGGGACTACTAACTTCAGAGGAATGTGGATTGGTGCCAGGCTGTCAGTCAGGGACACAGTTTCTGCCAAAGTCAAGTCTGAAAGAAGAGATCTTTTTCAGGTGAACTGACTTGGCAATCATTTGTCCTGGGTGGAGTTAGTAGACAAAGATTGACTTCTGTTATGAACTTTTGTGATCTCCACTCTGTGTAATAACTTATGGTTTTATTTTGAGTTGTTCTAGCTATCAGTTTGTTTCTCCCATTTCCTTGGCTGGCATTAGAAGAGTGGTCAACTGTAAAGCTATTTAGTGTATAGTACTTTTTTTTTTTTAAATATATATTTTATTGATTTTTTACAGAGAGGAAGGGAGAGAGATAGAGAGTTAGAAACATCGATGAGAGAGAGAGCCATCGATCAGCTGCCTCTTGCACACCCCCTTCTGGGGATGTGCCCGCAACCAATGTATATGCCCTTGACCGGAATCGAACCCGGGACCTTTCAGTCCGCAGACCGACGCTCTACCACTGAGCCAAACCGGCTTTGGCTATTTAGTGTATAGTATTTACCAAGGGCCTGTATGCCAAGCACTGCCAAGTGCCAGGTGATACATGCTGGGGACACATTAGTGAAGAGCACACGTAAGCTCCTTGCTTTCAAGAAACTTACATATTAGAGGAGAAGGCTGGATAGCAACTGATTGAGATTATTTCAGAGTATATCAAGTGCCAGAAAGGGAATAAACAAGGTGCTATGTTAGGTGCACATGGGAGGTTCTTCAGGATGGCAGTCTGCTGCTTTCTTGGATAAGCAAACTGATGGGTAGAGATGTAATACTCTAGAAAGTGGGGGGAAAGCATTATTCGGAGTGGTATTATGGTTTTGTGGTTAATGTAGTAGTTAAGAAATTTAAATATTAATGAGGAAGTAGGAAACTTGTGTTACTCTTCATAATAAATTCATTTGGTTAGGAAGCTGCTGAAATTGGGCTATGTTCATCCCATTCCAGTGTAATTTGAGCTTTATGTGTTTATTTCTTCCTCAGGTGGAGGCTTGAATTTTGATCTATGACCTCCCTACATCCATTGCCTGAAAATACTTAATGATCACATGACCCTGGACATGGATGCTGTGCTGTCAGATTTTGTTCGTTCCACAGGAGCCGAGCCAGGACTGGCCCGAGACCTCCTGGAAGGTAAGAGGTCATTGGGGAGAATGAGAAGGAAGTAAAATGTGATACCAGGATGATTTGAAACATTTAAGATGATCGGAAGGACATTTTGTGTATGGTAGGCTTTACATTTAAGTTACTTCTAATAATCTATTCTGTGTATAACCCACCATATTTTAAAATGCAAACTCCTCCTTTCATCTTGAATTTTTTTAGGGTACCTTTCGCCACTGCCAATTTATGTTCAGGTAATGCACATAGAATTTTATATTCAGTAAAAGAATAATTCTAGATTTTTAAGACTTCTTTACATATAAATCACTTGATTTTCATATTTGGTATCATCCGTGGTTTTGTTTTTGTCCTTTCCAATTTTGTGTGGGTAATTCCATGTAGAGTGAATTAATTTAATGTTTTCATTTTGCTGTTTTTATTTACTTATATTGTATATACATGTAAGTGTGAATGTTCTAGATTTTACTAAGATCCTTAAGGCTTGGAATCATGCATTGTGGGATTCTTTGTTTGGAATCATTATTAACAGATGCTTTTTTGATGATGAAAATATATGGTGATGCAAATAGATAAGCCTTTGGTGGACGGGGCAAGTTGTTAGTATACAAGGGTAATTTTTTTAATTGTCAGCCCTTAGAAAAGTGTGACAGTTTGACATTTGCTTAGTTGCCTGTGAGTAGAGCCTTAGTTTGGAAGTGGAAGATCAGGATTTAAATTCCCAGTATTACAATTTTAAAACTGAGGTTCAGAGAGATTAAGTAGGACTTAACCTAGGCATTCTGGTTTCAGAGTCTGGCTCTTAACAATTTTATTACAATTATATAAATTAATGCTTGCATGTCCTTTCTCTTTCACTCTCTTGCACACACACACACTCATACCCATGTGCCACACACACACTCATACCCATGTGCACATGCACTCATGTTATGAAAGAGCAGTGGGAAGTTAGTGGAAAGGCTGTAGGTAGAATTGTCTTCAGCATGTTCTAGGAATGGCGAAATAGAATGAGTAGAGGGAATTGGACCAAATGGTGATTATAATGGTACAGAAATAATTCAACAGATGTAAATGATAAATAAAACTTAACTGGATACTTGCAATAAAACAAGAAATATAGTAGTACAGTTTTTAAGTGCTTTCAATTAACTTAATCTTCATGACAACCCAGTATGATATAATCTCCACTTTCATAGCCAGGGAAATTGAAGTACAGAAAAAAGGCTAGAAAAATAGACCAGGTCATAGAAAGCCTTGAATGTCACACAAAAGAGCCTAGGCTTATTCCATAGACAATGGTAAAAGATTTTGATTATGAAATTGAAATGATTAGAACTCTAGAAAGAATAATCTCATTAAACTCTTTGGAGTGGACTGGAGGTGGGACACTAGGTGATAGGAATTGAATGAATGTGGTAGTAAATGGAATGGACCAGAAGGAAGTGTGAATAATTATGCGGTATGTTATTTACCAAATAATTTAATTGGAAAAAGCAATAGAAAAAATTCATTATGACAGCTCTGTCTTCTAGGGTCCTCAGCAGGCAGTGATTCTTAAATTTGGGTGGGTTAATTCCCTTTGATAATCTGGTAACAGCCAGTACCTCTTTCTTTACAAAAATGCACATACCTGTAACTTGGTGTACAATTTCATACAGCTTAAGGACACCTTAGAAGACATCTAGGTTAAGAACTCTCTGAATCACAGAATTAGGAGACCTGGGCTTGATTCCTGCTAGGCCCAAGTGCAAACTAGCTGTGACTTTGGGCAAATCACTCTGTTTTTTTAGGTGTCACATCCTTTATATGTAAAATGAGGTTACTGGGTCTCTAAGGGCCCTTTCGGTACAGAGAGACAATTTCTGTGCTCATGTAGTTTAGTTAGGAAATAGACAATAAGTAAATAAATTATGGTATTTCAGATACAAGTGTTATGAAGAAATTAAAGCAGGGTAAGGAAAGGAGAATGATTGAAGTGTGTATGAGTATATGCTTGTTGGTTTTGACAGGATGATGAGAGTGATCATTTAGTCTTTCTTCAATTTTTCTATACTCTATGTGCCCAATTCATTTTTTGCTTTGTGTTCTGACAGGAAAGAATTGGGATGTGAGTGCTGCTCTCAATGATTTTGAACAGTTACGTCAGGTCCATGCTGGGATCCTGCCCCAGTCCTTTAGTGAAGGGAGTGGTACCTCCAGGACCCCTGAAAAAGGGTTTTCTGAGAGAGAGTGTACTCGCCCTCCCCGACCTACTCTACAGCGGCAAGATGACATCGTTCAAGGTACTAGAGTAACTGAGGGACATTTCATATGGAGTAGAAAGGAAAGGGGGAACTGCCAAATCGAGTCAGAGCTCAATGATCCTTGGAGGTGTTTCCATTCCTCCCCTTTCTCCCCAGCCAAACTGGTCAGAGGTGGCCTCAATTTGTCCAGGTGCTGGAGCCCCTTACTGTCACTCTGCATCTTGAGTATTATCATGTATAAAGGTCTTCTTCGGATATTGTGAAAAAGTAGAGGAAGGAGGATACAACCTAATTGTTGAGATAAGGTACACATAAAGATAGAATTCAAGGGTCACTACCAGATACTTCTTTGGAGGCCATTCTGTTAATATTGTCAGTATCTACCATAATTTAAAAATACATATGTATGCTGACTGAGCAATTTCATTTCTAAGAATTTATTATATACTAGAGGCTCGATGCATGAAATTTGCGTGAGGGGTGGGATGGGAAGGGGAGAATCCCTTAGCTTGGCCTGCACCCTCTCGCAATCCAGGACCCCTCACTCCTAATCACCTGCCTGTTCGTTCCTTACTCGCAGCTCCTTAGTGCTGCCACAGAGGCAGGAGAAGCTCCTACCACTGCCACTGTGCTTGCCATTCATGAGCCCGGCTTCTGGCTGAGTGGCACTCCAGTTAGGGGAGTGCACTGACCACCAGGGGGCAGCTCCTGCGTTGAGCATCTGACCCTTGGTGGTCAGTCTGCGTCATAGTGATAAGTCCTTCTGGTCGTTTCACAGTAATGGTTGCTGGGCTTTTTTATATAGATGAGAGGCTTGGTGTATGAATTCGTGCATGGGTGGGGTTCCTTGGCCTGGCCTGGCCTGCCATCTGGGCCAATTGCAGCGGCCTGCTGGCTGGGAGGAGGGAACATGGGAGGTTGGCCTCAGCAGTAAGCTAACCAACTGCCAGTTCCACGAGGAATCGGGCTCCCTCCTCCTTCCTGTCTGGGTCCAGGGTGCTGGTGAACCAGATTCGGTGCTGTCAGGGCCCCTGCAGCAAGCTAAGGCACGGCCAATTCCATGAGGAATCGGGCTTCCTTCTCCCTCCTATCTGGATCCAGGGTGTGGGTGAACCAGATTTGGGGCTGTCAGGGTCCCAGCAGCAAGGTCTGGTACAGTGCGCGTCATAGCTACTGGCCAGTCGTCCGGTCATTCCTGTCATTTGGTCTTAATGGTTGTTTAGGCATATATATATATATGTTTATATCCGTCTCTCTCATATGTAGATATGTATCTCCTTTAAATAAATAAATACATACACAAATAAACACCTATACATATTTAGTATAAAGCTTGAAAGTTAAAGCTTGAAAACAACTTTTAATATCCATTAATACAGGGGTGGTTAAATAAATTGTAATCATCTATATTATGGAATATTCTGCAGTGTTAGAACTAGGTGGAACTTGATGTGCTGCTTTGGAAAAAATATTATCTATTGAGAAAGGTAAGATGCAGTATACAGTATGCTCCTGTTTAGGTTTTTTAAAAGATATATGTGCTTCTTTGTGCATACAAAATCCTAGAAGGCTATATGAAAGGTTGCCTCTGGGGAAAAGAAGCAGGAATTTTGAATGAGAGGAAGATTTCTTTATAACACTTTAAGTATCTAAAAAAAAAAAAAAGTTTAAAAAATAAATCACTATAGCCAAAACCGGTTTGGCTCAGGACTGAAAGGTCCCGGGTTCGATTCCGGTCAAGGGCATGTACATTGGTTGCGGGCACATCCCCGGTGGGGGGTGTGCAGAAAGCAGCTGGTCAATGTTTCTCTCTCATCGATGTTTCTAGCTCTCTATCTCTCTCCCTTCCTCTCTGTAAAAAATCAATAAAAATATTTAAAAATAAATAAAAAATAAACCACTATAAAATAATTTTTAGATAAGTCTTGACTTACTTTGTACATCATCTCTGGCAAATATTGGGTTAAGAATTGCTACCCAGTACATTTTTTTAGCTCTTTTGATAATCTTTATATAACTTGAGCCATGCAAATAAATTGTAATACTATACTGACCAAATTATGGTCACAATGGGTTATCTGCTGGGGAATTGTAAGTGCCATGTATTCAAAATAAATGAAATAATTTGAGGCACTGTCTTCCTCTGTAGCATATTAAGTCAGAATTGACTGTACCTATAAATTTCTGATAAGTTTGAATATCGAGAAAAGTTGTAGTAAATAATGTATATAAATGTTATTAATGGTAGTTAAGGAAGTTCCTGAGTATATAAGATTTTTTATTAATTTTCTATATTCTCCAAGACCCTAAAAATTATCCGAGAGATTATTTGAGTCAATCTAGCTAAATGCAACCCCATTTTCCTTATTCCCTCTTCCTCCCACAGAACAAATGAATGGGTCTCTGTTATGTTAGGAAATGAAAATGGAAAAAGACAGAGTCATGGGAGCAGGAAGATCAGGCAAATTCCTAAAAGGGTACAAGAGGAATGTATATTTGGTGCTAATATGCATAGATAAAAAATATCACTTTCTGTATTTCTACAGTAGTATTTGGCTTGAGAAGAGAGTTGTGGTATTTGGTAGCCATTGAAACTCAGTTTTTCCCAGAATGGAAAGTTCTGAGTGAGTTGTGTATATTCTAAGGTGACTCCATTTCTCATTGCAGAAAAACGCCTGTCTAGGGGCATCTCCCACGCCAGCTCCAGCATTGTTTCCCTGGCCCGGTCCCATGTCTCCAATGGTGGGGGTGGGGGGAGCAGTGAGCACCCCCTGGAAATGCCCATCTGTGCCTTCCAGCTTCCAGATCTCACTGTGTACAATGAAGACTTCCGCAGCTTCATAGAGAGAGACCTCATTGAACAGTCCATGCTGGTTGCCTTGGAACAGGCAGGTCAGTGAGTGCTTCCTTTTCCATGCTCTTTCCTCTGCTCTCTATCTACAGGCAGCCACTGGGCAGGGCAGGGCTTGACCAGTACCATCCAGTCTAAATATGTGATCTGATTACAGTCAAAGTCAGCAGTTAGTCAGATAAACTTGTAATAAGCTAGGTATTTCTTCAGGTTAAAATAAGGACACAAATTAGATACTTTTCTCTGGAAATTTCCTTTTTGATGGAAGGGAAACCAGATATACACACAAAAGGCCCAGGAATCTATACTTAAAAATCAATACATGGTGGGGATAAGGACACATATGTAATAACTTAGTAAAGAAATTTAAAAATAAAATAAAAATCAATACATGAAAAAACACACAAATGAATTATAATTGGCTCTGAAACAACTTGTGAAAGGGACCAGTGCTATAGACAGTGCACAGTGGTGATAAATCTGAAAGTCACATTTATTTATATAAACTTTGCCCAAACAACTTGTTTACCTTTACAATTTTGTTTGTCTTAAATGGTTATTAAAATTAGTTAAATGATGGGGTGGCATATCTGGGAGTTCTGGGAAAGCTAGATAGGTATTAAAAAAGCTCCCTTGGCCAAAACCGGTTTGGCTCAGTGGATAGAGCATCAGCCTGTGGACTGAAGGGTCCCAGGTTCGATTCCGGTCAAGGGCATGCACCTTGGTTGCGGGCACATCCCTAGTAGGAGGTGTGCAAGAGGCAGCTGATCGATGATTCTCTCTCATCAATGTTTCTAACTCTCTCCCTCTCTCTTCCTCTATGTAAAAAATCAATAAAATATATTTTTTAAAAATTTAAATAAATAAATAAAAATTGGGAAGTGGGAAGGGCTTTATGGGTAATCTGCTCTTCTTTTCTTCCTTTTTCTGTAGGTCGTTTGAACTGGTGGGTGAGTGTAGACCCCACCTGTCAGAGGCTGCTTCCTTTGGCAACTACTGGAGATGGAAACTGCCTCCTACATGCAGCCTCTCTTGGTGAGTCTTGAAAGTGGCCCTCTATTCCCCCATAGAAGAAATCACTAGAGTTAAATGTTATTAAATGTTTTGTGTAGGACTTGCTTCAACCAATGTTGATCATAGGCAGAAGTGATGGTTCAGAGCAAGGGTGTGTGTGTGTGTGTGTAGATGGAAAAGAGCCCTGCCCTGGTTTTTCAGTCTTATTCAGAAATCACATGGAGAACACAATATTATCCTGGGTCCCACAAGAAGTTGACCCTCAGAAGTAATGAATAGCAAAAAGCAAGCAATATATAGCTCTATGTGTGTATGTAATATTTATTCTTTGGTATAAAAAATGTTTTCATTAACTTTAAATTATACAGGCTATTTATAATTCAATATACTATCTGCCTTAGCTTTTTTTTTTTTTTTTTTAAAGAAGTCCCCATTTTCCAACCATCCCTCAAGCTTTTTTTAAAAAAAATATATTTTATTGATTTTTTACAGAGAGGAAGAGAGAGGGATAGAGAGTTAGAAATATCAGTGAGGCAGAATCATCAATCAGCTGCCTTTTGCACACCCCCCACTGGGGATGTGCCCGCAACCAAGGCACATGCCCTTGACTGAAATCAAACCTGGGACCCTTCAGTCTGCAGGCCGACGCTCTATCCACTGAGCCAAACCAGTTTCGGTCATACCTCAAGCTTTGATGCTGATTGTCATGTGCCAGTTTTCTCTGTTGCTACCTGTTTATTGGGCTTGCATCAGGAATAAGTTCTTTCTGTCAAGAGTTTGGTATATCCCCCACTTTCACGTCCTCAAAATTTCTGAACTTATAGAGTAGAAACATCTTTCCTTTCTTGATTAAGTGCCTTTCCCCTAAATCACAGAAGAGTTTCATTGAACTTGGACTTCAGCCTAATTTCCTTCATGCCATGGTCTGTGTATCATAATAAGCAGAGTTGAGTCACTGTAAGGTGTCTTACTGTTAGGTTTTCTTGCAATAGGGATGTGGGGTTTCCACGATCGGGATTTGATGCTGCGGAAAGCTTTGTATGCACTGATGGAAAAGGGAGCTGAGAAGGAAGCATTGAAACGACGCTGGAGGTGGCAGCAAACACAGCAGAATAAAGAGGTGAGAGAGCTGGGGTGAAGCGCCTTGTTTCCCCAAGTTACACAGAGGAAATGCCAGTGCCTACCGTTAAGAAGTGTCTCCTGGTGCTTAGTGCTCCTGTAATTGTAAAAAATGTAGATAACACCTTAGGGTGTTTGGGTGTTGCTCTAGTGTGGGGGAACTGAGACTTTACAGAGGAGTTATCTAACTCTGCTTTTCACCTGATAGGTGCTTATAAGTCTTTAGTGGCAATCTTTTGCAAAATGAGACATGACATGTCCATAGAATTTTTGTATTGTTTTGATTTTATTGTTTATAATGCGACTAGACCAATTTTTAAGGATTTGTGCTATCTGTAGAAATATAAATGCTTAAAAATATTTTTGGCCATGTATACCATTTATTTTTCAAATACTTAGTGTGTTTAAAAAACTTTAAAGCATATCTGTTAAATTGAGTTTGAGTGGTACATCTCAGGGGTTTAGCAAATGTTGAAGCTGCTTTTATATAAGAAAGTAACAATGGACTTTTTGTACTTTCCATCTCCATAACAGAGGTTGGGCCTGTGAGCCAAATACCACCAACTGATTAAAAAAAAAAGTTTTATTGGAATATAGCCCCACCCATTAATTTACATGTGTATGTTTATGTAAGTGCTTTCCTGCTATAGCAGCAGAATAGAGTAGTTGGGTATCCTCACAAGGACAAAATATTTACTATCTGGATCTTTATAGAAAAAGTTTACCCACCCTTCCCCCTTAACTTTAATACTGACATTAACATTTATATAAAAACAATGGATTTCCTTTTCCCCTGGTTCTGCCTTCTATATTTATCTCCTGCTCTTTGGGATATATTTAATTTTTGCCATGTATATGGCTGGGTGTTTCTGGCATTAATGTGGGATTATCTCTTCAGAAACTTTTCATCTTTCTTTTCTCCTTTTATTGTTCAACCATAACTGGCCATATATAGAACCAAGAGATTTTTAGTCATTGGAATTTTATGTCCTGAAGATTTAAAATACATAAGTAGAATGTGTTCTGTTTCTTTCTCAAAAACAAAGAACCCATTATTAAACTTAGGATGATATTAAGATTGCAATCCTATCTTTGATCAGCAATCTGCCCCAGAAGATTCCTGAGGGAAATAAATGCACAGGGCAAGGCCAAGTACATGACAAGTTCTTTATACCACCAAGCCCCTGGTGAGTTAAACTGGACCTTGTGGAGACCTTCTGTTGCCTGAACTACAGTCAGTCCAGAGTTTGCCTTCTTTATATCATACCTGAACCTGAACCTTGATTTGACCACTCCAGAAATAAGAAAAGGCCAAACCAGAGCATGCTGGTTATTAAGTAGAAGTGACAGCAATAGTCAAAGAATAGGTGTGTCCAGTTCAAAGTTTCTAAGCTATAACTGTTATTTGATTAAAAAAAAAAAAAAATACCTTGCCGAAACCGGTTTGGCTCAATGGATAGAGCATCGGCTTGGGGACTGAAGGGACCCGGGTTCGATTCCGGTCAAGGGCATATACCTTGGTTGCGGGCATATCCCCGGTGCGGGGTGTGCAAGAGGCAACTGATCGATGACTCTCTCTCATCGATGTTTCTAGCTCTCTCTCTCTCTCCCTTCCTCTCTGTACAAAAACAATAAAATATATATTTTTTTAAAATACCTTTTTTTAGAGAGAGAAAATATTGATCTGTTGTTTGACTTGTTATGCATTCATTAGTTGATTCTTATATGTGCCCTGACCAGGGATCAAACCTGCAGCCTTGGTGCATCCAGACGATGCTCTAACTAATCCAGCTACCTGGCTAGGCTATAGTTATTATTTTAAAGTCGGGGTTAGATTATGATGGTATTTAGTGAGGAGACCCAGCAATACCTATTTCCTCTCAAAGTCTCCATTGAAAATACATGCATAGAGAATAGTTGCTATCAAAGGAGAAATCTTTTTACTCCTTTTGGCATATTGAAAGTTCCCTAATAGAAATATGGCCTAGGTAATTATTTTAGCTCAGATCACTCAGACCTTGGGAGTGGGAATGGGGGGAGAGTGGTGATGGACTGGGGAGCTTCTATTAACCAGTACCAAACACAAAACTTGTTTTGTGTTTTGATTTCCCAGACCTCCTTTTGTGTTGAATTTGGTGGTAAAAACCCAGTAAGAAAATTTTCAGGCTAGAAGGGTACGCCACCTAGAGGCTGTGTGTATAAGAACAGTAAGCAGAAATAGATGAAAGGAAGGAGACAGATCCGCCCCGGATGTGTATCAGTGACCATATATCAGAATGACCACAGCGCCCCATATATAACCTGTGCATTGTTCTTATTTTTAATTGGAAACATTTTTTATATAATCTTACAAACTGAAAATAGCTTTGTCATTTTTAAAATTAAAGTAGAATATGCTCATAATGGCTCTTTAATTCCTGTTAAATTTGTCCTAATGCCCCTCTTTTCTCTTTAAAATATATTTTTATTGATTTCAGAGAGGAAGGGAGAGGGAAAGAGATAGAAACATTAGTGATGAGAATCACTGATTAGCTGCCTCCTGCACACCCCTACTGGGGAATGAGCCCACAACTTGGGCATGTGCCCTGACCAAGAATTGAACTGTGACCTCCTGGTTCATAGGTCGACTGGCCCAACCACTGAGCCACACCAGTTAGGTTCCATTGTGATTCTTTTTACTGTCAGTTTGTGTTTAAGCATTTTAATCCTAATGTAAGCCAAATATAGTAAAGTAGACTGTTACTTCACCTAGAAGTAACCAAGGCTAAAATCATTAATACACAACAGTATTTCTGGGGTAGCAGAGTTCACAGAGGTAGGAGAAAGTAAGTTGTGGAAGCTAAAGGAGAAGGGAGTTTACAGAGATTATCAAATACTACATGAAAGCTAAGAAAGATGAGAACCAATGAGGCAATTAGGAGGTTAGTGTCCTTTGCCCAGTGTTGGTTAGGGGAAGTGGTATGTGAGGGTAAAGGGCATAACTGGAGGGCAGAAACAGAAGCTAGATTGCCATGGGTTGGGAAGAATGGAAGTAAAAGAAATGTGAGAGAGATCAAAGACTATTCTTTCGTGGATATTGGTTTTAAAAGGGAGAATAGATTTGACTTTATAGTACAAATTATAAACGAAGTGCTAGGAGAATATTGCCTCTTGAACCTAGCTTCTAATTGTTTGACATCCCCTGCCTGTCTTTCACAGTCAGGGCTGGTATACACAGAGGATGAATGGCAGAAGGAATGGAATGAGCTGATCAAGCTTGCCTCAAGTGAACCCCGAATGCATCTAGGTACCAATGGAGCCAACTGTAATGGGTAAGTATGGGGGAACAGGAAGTAATTTTAACTGAGTCCTCAGAGTCCAAAGAGCTCTGTGCTAAGAGGATATTAAGAGAAAAGAGAGGAACCATGGCAGGGGCACAGGATTATGTAACAATGTGGTATGTTCTAGGACAGTGGTTGGCAAATTCATTAGTCAACAGAGCCAAATATCAACAGTACAATGATTGAAATTTCTTTTGAGAGCCAAATTTTTAAAATTTATTCTAACGCCACTTCTTCAAAATAGACTCGCCCAGGCGTGGTGTTTTGTGGAAGAGCCACACTCAAGGGGCCAAAGAGCTGCATGTGGTTCACGAGCTGCAGTTTGCTGACCACGGATCTAGGAACTTTAGGTAGTTCAGTATTGCCATAATATAGAATATGTGGTACAGAATGATAGAAGAGGCTAGGTATCCATATTATGTGTGCCATACTCAGGTTTCTCTTATACCATGCTAAGGAATTAAAATTGTGTCCTATCTAGACTTTTAGAAACTACAGGACAAATGACCCAATTTCCTCAATAAATAAATTGCAAAGAAAATAATAAGAGAGAGGGAAGGTAAGTTTAAAGACACTTAAGAGATATATCAACCAATTGGAATGTATGGACATATGTAAGACAATTGGAGAAATGTGAACGATGTCTACAGTTTGATTATTATTAACTTTTTAAAGTGTGATATTAATGGTATTGTGGGTATTTCTTCAAGTTATTTTTTAGAGATAGAAACTGTAATACTTAAGGATGAAATGTATGTCTAGGATTTGCTTTAGAATAATCAGGGGTGAGTGGAAAGTGGTGTCTAATAGGGAAATAGATAAAAGTGTAGGTGAAATGAGATTGACTCTGTGTTTATAGTTGTTGAGGCTGGACAATGGATACATGAGAGTTTAGGATAATATTCTTTCTAGTTTAGAATGTGTTTAAAATTTTGAAATTTTATATAATAAAAAGTCAAAAATTATAACTGATCCAAAGTTTATTGTGCATAAAAATAATGTGAGAAGACTGTTTAAAATGCAGATTTCAACCCTAGCTGGTTTGGCTCAGGAATAGAGCGTCAGCCTTTGGACTGAAGGGTCCCGGGTTCGATTCTAGCCAAGAACACATGTCTGGGTTGCAGGCTCAATTTCCAGTGGGGGGTGTGCAAAAGGCAGCCAATTAGTGATTCCCTCTCATCCTTGATGTTTCTCTCTTTCCCTTCCTCTTTGAAATCAATAAATTAAAAAAATAAATAAAATGCAGATTTTAGGACCCTTGAGTGAGCCTGAGGTAAGGCCCAGAAATCTACATTTGTAGCAAACACCCAGTGTTGAATATTGCTTTACGGGGTGGCAAGGCACTGTGTTGTGAGTGAGTGACAGGAGCAAATTTGTGAATTTAAATACACTGACAGCAGAGTGAATGATGAAGCGGAGGGAGGGAGACTAGAGGCAGTTGTAGTAATCCAAGAAAGAGAGCCATTGGTATGAACAAGAGTAGTGGATTGTAGCCTGGCAGGTGTGGCTCAGTTGGTTAAGTGTCATCCCATGCACCAAAAGTCACTGGTTCAATTCCTGGTCAGAGCACATGCCCGTGGAGGCAGTTGATTGGTGTTTCTCGTGGATGTTTCTACCTCTCTCTTTAAAACCAATAAAAACATATTTAAAAAAAAAAAAAAAAAAAAGAGTAGTGGATTGCAGATAAGCCAAAGGAGATAGATGCAAGAGACACTTAAGAGATGGAATTGGCCAAGCCAGATGATTAACTGGAGGTAAGAGATAAAGAACAGTAAAGATTTTACATATTTCCAACTAGGCTATTTGTATATAGTGAGGTTGTTCTCCAAGCAAGGCAACATAGGAGGAGGAGTTTTTGTTTTTGTTGGACAGTGTGATGTGTGGATGGTTGTGGTGGGAAGGGTCAGCAAGATGAGGCTACTCAGTTGTGTATTTAGATACTTTATAAAGAGAATTGAGGAAGGTTGTTGAACAAGTATTAATACAGGAATTCCCTTCAGATTCCTACACTACTTTAACAATACAACCATAAAGCTTTCAAATCTCTTTTTTTGGATTTCTCCATTTGTAAAATGGAAGTAGAAACAGCCATTGTAGCATAAAATAATCAGGCAGACTTAGGATTAGAAAACCAGGAAAGGACATTCTTCTTTCCTTTGTGCATAACTGAGGAGTCTCTTGTTTTGTTTTCTTCCCTCTCCCTTCCACTTAACCCCTTCCACTTTTTCCCCACCTGCAACTCTAGGGTGGAAAGTTCAGAGGAGCCTGTATATGAGAGTCTAGAAGAATTCCATGTCTTTGTCCTTGCCCATGTGCTTAGAAGGCCTATAGTCGTCGTGGCAGATACCATGCTGAGGGACTCTGGGGGCGAAGGTGAGTCAGTCAATCCTCACTGCACTCTTAAGTACCCACTGTTTGCAGAGTTTTGTTATAAGCACTGGAAGGAGTGTGGGAAAGGGGATATATAGACCTTTGGGGGGAAAACAAGGTGTAAATTAGAACAATGCAAAGGTCTCAAAAGATTCAAGTTGGGATTAATTGATGAGGCTTCTTGGGAAAGAATTATTAAGCAGGGGTTGGAGTGAAAGGGGACTCAATTGGCAGAGTGAGGAAGAGGGATTGCCCATTGGGCAAGAATGTAGCCTTAGCCTAAACCGGTTTGGCTCAGTGGTAAAGCGTCGGTCTGTGGACTGAAAGGTCCCAGGTTCAATTCTGGTCAGGGGCATGTGCCTTGGTTGCGGGCACATCCCCGGTAGGGGGTGTGCAGGAGGCGGCTGGTCGATGTTTCTCTCTCATCGACTTTTCTAGCTCTCTATCTCTCTCCCTTCCTCTCTGTAAAAAAATCAATAAAATATATTAAAAAAAAAAAAAAAAAAAAAAAAGAATGTAGCCTTAATAATAATCTTTGTGGTTTCCTGCAGCATTTGCCCCTATTCCCTTTGGGGGAATCTATCTGCCCCTGGAGGTTCCCACCAGCCAGTGTCACCGTTCCCCTCTGGTGCTCGCCTATGATCAGGCTCACTTTTCTGCACTTGTGTCCATGGAACAGAAGGAGAACGGCAAGGAACAAGGTGCTGAATACAGTATCTGTGTCTGATGCTTTTTGATCTGCTTTATTTTCATTGGAAAATCTGAAATGAGCGCATGTTGAGACTATTCTACCACGCTGTAATATATACCAAGGTTTTAAAATTAAACAACAAAGGTTTGGGGGAAAACACAGTAGTTTATATTTCCTGCTTCCTGAAATGAAGGGTTTATATATTAAGGCTATGGAATCTTCCAAATGATGCTTTGCTTTATTTGTCTGAGTGATTTTTAATTCCATGAATCCACATTAACTAGCAAAAACATCATGAATGTTAGTTGACTGACAGGTGGGGAATCATGGGGATTATTATCTAACCAGCCTTTTAGTTTTAAATGCCAGGGTAATTCACATGTAAAAAATAAGAAGTGACTACAGTGATCATAGCTCCTATAGTATAATACAGCCTCCTTTTCAGTGTGTTCAGTTGCCTTCCTCTCTCCTTGATGACATGTTTTTCCCCCTCCAGCTGTGATCCCACTTACAGATTCAGAGCATAAGCTGCTGCCCTTGCACTTTGCTGTAGACCCTGGAAAGAGCTGGGAGTGGGGCAAAGATGACAGTGACAATGTCCGATTGGCCAGGTGAGATATGCCTATCCTTTTCATCTGCTTTGTAGCTGGGAGCTCTTCCACATATAGCATCTGTCTTTTGGGGACTTTTTCTCAGCTCAGAAGCAAGACAGTCGTCACCCTAGTTTTGGGACGACACCCATAATTTTGGGACGACAGACAGGTGAAAGACAGGTTGAACACCACTTTTGCAGCACGGAACTGCTTTTTCTCCCTATGAAAGATGAGAATCCTGGACTTGTTCTTTCCTTACGTATGAAGAGGGTTCTTGCACTAATTCCTCCCAGAATCCCCAAAGCAGTGATCAGAAAATCAAGTTATGTAATTCACAGTTCTCCCAGACCAAGTGAGAGGGGTTTTAAACAGGTGACCAAAATAATTTGCTCTGGATTTTTGCCTCTTTGGAATTTAAAGCAAGAAAAATACATTCTTCCCCACTAGTTACTCTGCGTAACTAGTTAGCCTTCCTCCTGCTTCCTACCACAGCTTCCTATGAAGAGTGTATGAGTGTAAAATCTCCTCCCTTACCTCTTACCCAGAGACCCAAATGAGAGGGTTTGATGAAAAAAAAAACAGTGTTTGTGGCTTTTTAACCAAGTTCTCACCTAACTTTCAAAAGCTCCTTCTAAATATTTACAACAATAACAATGGCTACTGTTTAGTAAGAATTTCCTGTTTTCTAGACACTGTGCTGTGTCCTTTTAAATGCCATCTTGATCTCTATAACAACCCTACAAGATATATTACTATCTGTACTCATTATCAACCCCATCTGAGTTTCAGAGAAGTTGATGTGACTTGCTTGAGGTTATCAGTCTTAGTAATTGGTGGAGCTATCATTCAAATCCAACCCTGAATCCCAAGCCATGTGGCCCTCACCCAACTTATCACACTGCTTTGCATTTTATAAATTACAGAACATTTCTAATTTTTTTTTTTTTCTCCCTTTCACAGTGTAATCCTGTCCCTGGAGGTCAAATTGCATCTGCTGCATAGCTACATGAATGTGAAGTGGATCCCATTGTCCTCTGATGCTCAGGTGAGGACATCTCCACCGGACCCTTGTTGGTCCTCATTTTCAGTGACGGGGAGAATAAGATCTGGTGGTGTTCTCTTTCTGAATCTTCTGGGTGATGGCTTATAATTCCAAATTAGGAATAATTGGAAAATATCAATTAAGTTCCCAAAGGTACTTTTTTCTGTCTTTCTACCTGTTAGTGCCTCCCATTTTCCACATCTCCTCTCCAACCAAGCTCTGCTTTTTTACACTAAAACATATTCTTCAAGAAAAGTTTTCTGGACATTTTGGTGAACTTGAGGTTATCACTACTTTATCCTACGCTATCTATACATAGACCCCTGTGTTGGCACCAGAAGAGACAGAACAGCTTAAAGAGCTACTGATCCAGTAGGTTCTGAGGATGTCATCAGTATCCATAGAACAGGATCACAGGAGTAAGGGCAAATTGATGGGCTCTGGTGTTGAATGCTAAAAGTTGAGAGGCTTCAGAATGGTTACAGTTGGTTGGTTGGTTGGTTGGTTGGGATTAGACAAGACTTTCTTGGGTTTAATTTTGGGAAGAATTTAGCATAGAGAAATTTAAAATCAAATAAAGAACGCTCCAGTATCTATAGAATATTCTGCCCTTACCCAGAGGCCATGTATTGTAGTTATTCATTGCTCTAGAAGAGTTGCAGGCTTCATTATTAGAGAATGAAGTCATTGCAGGTGACACCTACCCCTTATCTGTGGGAGAGTGACTGGAGCTGGGGAAGGACAATGCCCTCCGGAGTGACCCTTCTCCATCATGACAGCAGCCCTTCTTTAAAACTGGGCAGTCACTCTTAAGGATGGTTCATAGGGATGTTACCACTCTTTTTCACTTGGCTAATTCCTATAACAATGGCTACTGAGAGCCCCATGAGCCATATGATAAACTAGAATCCCCAGGGATCTCCCCCAACTCAGACTAATGAGGTAACTGACGATCCTGTTTTTGTCTCTTGCAGGCTCCCCTGGCCCAGCCTGAGTCCCCCACTGCCTCAGCAGGAGATGAGCCCCGGTCTACTCCTGAGTCTGGGGAATCAGATAAGGAGTCAGTTGGCAGCAGTTCCACCAGCAATGAGGGCAGCAAGCGGAAAGAAAAATCCAAACGAGATCGGGAGAAGGACAAGAAGAGGGCAGATTCTGTGGCTAACAAACTGGGCAGCTTTGGCAAAACCTTGGGAAGCAAGCTCAAGAAGAACATGGGAGGCTTGATGCACAGCAAGAGTTCTAAGCCTGGAGGGATGGGAACAGGGTCAGGAGTGAGCAGTGGCACCGAGACACTGGAGAAGAAGAAGAAAAACTCACTGAAGAGCTGGAAGGCTGGCAAAGAGGAGGCAGCTGGGGATGGGCCTTTGTCTGAGAAGCCTACATCTGAGTCTATGGGTAATGGAGCGAGCAAGTATAGCCAGGAGGTGATGCAAAGCCTGAGCATCATGAGGACTGCAATGCAAGGGGAGGGGAAGTTTATTTTTGTTGGAACCCTGAAGATGGGTCACCGTTACCAATATCAGGAGGAGATGATCCAGCGCTACCTTTCTGATGCTGAGGAGAGATTCCTGGCAGAGCAGAAGCAGAAGGAGTCAGAGAGGAAGATCATGAATGGAGGGGTAGGGAGTGGGCCTCCTCCAGCCAAAAAGCCAGAGCCAGATGGTGGGGAGGAGCTGCTGACTGCCCCCCAAACAGAGTCCAAGGCAATGGCATTTTCTACTGGCTACCCTGGGGGCTTTACAATCCCTCGGCCTTCTGGGGGTGGAGTTCACTGCCAGGAACCCCGGAGGCAGTTGGCAGGGGGTCCGTGTGGGGGTGGCCTACCACCATATGCCACCTTCCCTAGACAATGCCCTCCTGGGCGACCCTACCCCCATCAGGACAGCAGCCTTTCTCTGGAGCCAGGAAGTCACTCCCAAGATGTTGTTCATAGGGGTACATTGTTACCACCCCATTTCCGCGTGGCTGATTCCTATAGCAACGGCTACCAAGAGCCCCCTGAGCCAGATGGATGGGCTGGAGGGCCCAGGGGGCTTCCCACAATCCAGACCAAATGCAAACAACCGAACTGCAGCTTCTATGGACACCCTGAGACAAACAACTTCTGCTCCTGCTGTTATAGGGAAGAACTGAGGAGGAAGGAACGGGAACTGGGTGGGGAGCTGCTAGTGCACAGGTTCTGAATGAGGGGACCTTGGAGGGCAAGTGGGTAAACCAAGAAAGTTAAGCTCAACTAATTGGCTCATCAAGACCCAGCCCCATGTTGATGGGGCAAATGCAGTAGCCTGGCGAGAAACTTTTAAAAAGTGTGTGTGTGCTGGAGAGTTGCCAGGCTGGCAAGAGCAGGTCAGGGCTGACGGTGCCTCAAGGGCTGTACTAGTCCTTTGCAGATCTTGACTTGATGGGACTGAGGAGGTACAAAGGAGAAAGATGGCAATTCTGTTTCATAACCCCTTGGGTCCATGAAAGCAGAAGGGGCAGGTTTGGTATGTGGGGATAGGGAGATGGTAGCCATCTGGGAAAAGAGAAGGCAAAGGTGGTTCTTGGTCAATAAAAGAAAAACAAAAACCAGACCAAAGTTCTTTTAGGTTGAAAAAAAGCACATGGTGGTGGAGTTGGGAGTGTGGAGAGAAACTGGGGAATTAAGACAAATTGGCCATTGATTTGAATTAAGATAGAAACTAGGGTTGGATAAATTCTTCCTCCTAAAGAATCTGGAAAGACAGGGCAGTCATGTGTGCTCATGGATGCCTATTAGGAGGGAGGGAGTTGAAATGGGTTTGTTGAGATGGGGAAGGGACAAACTTAAAAGGGGAAATCTTTCCCTCTTATTTCCTTCTAAACACCATCTGTCATCTGTTCTAGTTTGAGAGGAGGTTGTTGATTGCCCCCTATCTTTTCCTCATCCTTTCTGAGGGCTGAACTCAGTTAAATTAAGAAAGTTGTGATTTAAAAAAAAAAAAAAAGAAAGGACTTTAATTTTTTTTTTTTTTTTTTTAAGTTCCCTCTGGGGAAGGGAAGAGAGTGATGAGAAGAGCAGCTGTGTGTGTTGAATTTTCTCCAGGTGAACTGGTACAGAGGGGATCTTTTTTTAACTACTTAGCAATAACCACATATTGGAGTTTGAGTGTGCCTTGGGAGGGGTGGGAGAAGGATAGACCTTTGGCCAGACTGTTTCAAACAAAACCAAAAACCTAAATAGAGCACTACCATCCTCTGCTGCTGCATTTCTGTAGAAAGCAACTTTATTTGACTTTTTTTTTTTTTTTTTTTTTTTAAGGAAAAGAAACAAAAGACCCCAGCAAGGAAAAACATTTTTAAAAATATTTTTTTCCTATTTAAGTGATTCTTTCTCCTTTCCTCTCTGTTTTTGGAGAATGAACTTGACATCCCGGCTTCTTTTGTTAAGCCATAGCTGACCTTAATCTGTGGTTAGTTTATTAAAATAATAAAATACTTTGTAAGAAGAGATATTTTTTTAATAAGATTGATGTTGAAACATGGGCTAGAGGCTGGAGCAATTTATAAAAAGTTAGAGAAATCTATTTTAGTGAACTGTAACCACAGATCACAGATTACTCCCAATGAGATGATCTGTCTTTGGAGTTCCTCCTTTCCCTGACCCTACCCTTCTCCCCAGGGGTGGGAGTGGGCCTGTGGACAGTGTGGGGGAGCTCCTTTGCATTTTGCACAAAGCACAAGTCTGGACAGCCTATGCTCTGGCCAGCACCGTTTTTAAGAGCTTTAAACCAGAGAACCTATCCTAGGCCAATTTTCCTTTTCCTTTTCTTTTTCTGGGAAAACTTCAACTATGCAATTGTATACACTCCTGGGTACATACTAAGAAGGGGAATAAGTGTACTTAAGTGTCCAGGTGTTAACTGGGGCTATTTTTCTGTTTTTGGATTTCTCTTTGGAAGTATGTACTCATAACCCACCCATGGAATGTAATCCCCAAATTTGATCTGAGGCAAACAGCCTTGGTGTGTGTGGGGGGTGGGGGGGTGGGGGGAGGGAGGTAACTCCTGTTTGCCATATGTTGCTTCTGCCCAATCAGGAAGGTAGTCTTGCTTTGTTACCCTTTGGTAACAAAGCCAAGACTATCCTCTTTATTGGAACTGCTTACATTTTAGAAAGGTTCCTTCCTCAAACTTGAAAGTCACTTATTTTCCAAATCTGATACTGTTGATTTTACCATTTCCTATGGCTATGAATTCTTAAGCTTTTATTTGAAAACAGACTGGTTTTAAGGAGGCAGTGAAGTCAGGACTGGTTTTAAGGAAGCAATGAAGTCAGAGGAGTTAGGTTCCTAAGGAGGGTATGTATATATTCAGGGCAGGGCTGGGACTAGTAAGAGACAAGCACTCCTCTCGTACAAAACTGAAGAGGGTACCGAAAAACTCAATAATCAAGATAATGTTTTAATGCAATATCTTTAAAAATCAATGCAAAAAAAATCCATAATGAACAAAATGTCAAAATCAAAGACTGGATTCAGCAGGACTGGGATTAAAGAGAGGGAAGTAAAGCTAAAATGAACAAGTATAGGGTTGAATCCTGTCTTTAAAACTGATAATTTGTTCATTGTGGTGGTGGTGTTTTTTTACATTAGTTTTTATCTTCAAAAAATAACTGCATTAAAATAGTGTCTTGATTACTGGGTTTGGGAGCACCACTTAAATTTTGTGCCCCAAATGAGTGCCTTGCTCACCTCACCCTGTTCTTGGGGTTAGAACAACACTAGTGAGACTACCACCCTCATGGGCTTCCATCCCCTAACATGCACCTGTACAGCAGGTGGCTCAAACTCATACCTTGAATTTGCACAACTCACTTAGCTTTCTCATAGGCATCCATCTATATCATAGGATTCTGGCCTGGACCAATAGGAGTGGAAACAGACCAGAGGTTTCCCTAGATAATAAAGCCAGGAAAGTTTTGATTCTCCACTGGACTGCTGTGTTTGGATTTGTTCTGTTATTAGTTCTAGGTAATACTTTTTGTTTTAAAAAAAAAAAACAAGACAAATGAACAAAAATGGAAACCTTATGTTGTTTGTTTTTCTTTGATTTATAAATTATCCACCAATTTCTTCTGACTTCTTTTCAATAAAAAAGATGGAAATATGGGGGGAGGGAGTGGCCTAGGAGTGAGTTTGGTATATTAGGGCTTTATGTAGGCCTTACAGCTTTTGTGGTTGTTAATCCTCACCTGAGTATATTTTTTCTGTTGACTTTTATTTTTTTAAAAATATATTTTTATTGGTTTCACAGAGGAAGAGAGACATCAATGATGAGAAAGAATCATTGATGGGCTGCCTCCTGCATGCCCCCTACTAGGGATCAAGCCCGCAACCCAGGCATGTGCCCCTGAAAGGAATTGAACCCGGGATCCTTCAGTCCGCAGGCCGATGCTCTATCCACTGAGCCAAACCAGCTAGGGCTGTCCCGTTAATTTTTAGAGAGAGTGGAAATATCGATGTTGGAGAGAGACATCAATCGGTTGCCTCCTGCTATGGGATCATACCTGCAACCCAGGTACATGCCCTTGAACTGGAATCCGGAATCGAACCTGAGACCTTTCCAAGAGCAGGCCAGTGCTCTAATGAGCAACATCGGCCAGAGCAGCCCTATAGTATTTTTTATTATGAAATATTTTTCTTAATTTGGGTAGGTAATTATTTATTGAGGCATAAATAAACCTCTCCGTTCTAAGGATTAGGGAGCCTGAGTCAATGGATGTTTTCCTATAGGGAGGAGTAGAGTCTGTTTTGCTTTATTCTTTGAGGGAATTGTGTGGGGTGGGGGTATGAAGGAATAATGCCTAGGAGATGAATTTGGTTGGTTTATGGTATTTTTGGGAAGAGGAGGGGGTGGAAGAGGCAAGCCCATGCAATTACTGTACTGGGAGAAGGGAAAACAGTGGTACATGATGTGCACTCAAAAAAGAGCAAAAATTCCTCAGTTAAGGAGAGGTCTGTGGGTGAAAGGGGTAAGCAGACCCCCATACCCTAGCTGAGGGATGATGTCTCTCAGTTTTAAATAAGTGCACTTAGTTCCTTTAATTCAGGGTGTTGGGGTACCTATTGAAGTTTTTTATTGGAAAGGGGACATTTTCCCCTTTTGATTAAGATAGTGCTATCCCTCCACCCTTATACACTCCAGCCCTGATGGAACAAGTATACATAAAACAAGCCTCCAAAATCTCAATCTATGCTTGTTTTATTGAGGGTTACAAGATTTAACCAATAGTTTTCCTCACATACTGGATTCTATTAAAATGAAGATTATATATAAAATATATATATATAAATTTTAAGAAATTCAATCTCATTCTGGAGTGGGGATGGTGTTAAACTGTGCTGTACAGGCCTGGAGGCAAGTACCTTCCCTCCTGCAGTTTCTTCTCAGGCAAAACTAAAGCTCACAGACCAATAAAACAAAAATTAGCAATGACTTTGTATTGTATATTTGGGAGGGAATACTGAGTCAAAAAGAATGGGGCTGGTTCTGAATGACTTGAGAACCTAGCTTTTACCGTTCTTATTCCTTTCTAAACAGCCATGTGTCCAGGGTCCAGTCACATTTTTTTCCTTTCCCAATAAAGAAGCTTCAGAAATGATTGTCCTTGAGTTACCTGGACACCTTGGACTCTGTCCTCTTTCTCCAAGAGTCTGCCCCAGACACATAGCCACAGCTGAGAAGACAGAATTAAAAGCCCCTTCCCGGCCTGGAATCATCTGTACCCTAGATTTTTCTAGTCTCTCTTCCCCTCCAGGCCCTTTTAACTGATTCAGTGAGTCATACAAGCATTCTGTCTCACTTTGTAGATGCCCAGTCTACAAATCACAGGGTGTTTTGCCCCAAGAACTTAAGTTGAACAAAATAATTTGTTATGAAGTCTTCCGTGTAGACACACTCCATGGCACCTCACTCCACCTGGTGAGTAAGGGGCTTTAGGAGAGGGAAGCTGGCTAATAGCAGAACTGACTGAAGTGGGGGTGGAGAGGACTATGGCCTCTTTCTGTGTTTATAACTGGATTTGTGACTCATTCTATGAGTCACTCAGCTCCTCCTTCAGCTGCCCCTCCTGGCAGCCTTCACTCATAGCACAAACCTACAACCAGATCAGGATTCTGAACATGGAAAAATCTGATACAGTTTCACCCTTCCTATCCTCCGCTGAGCCTCCACTGGGAGTGTGTAGGGTAGTGAGAGGTGGTTCTGCTGTTCATTACTCCTCATCTGCTGCCCTCATTGCATTCCTGGTTGGGGACTAATCCAAGTCACCCAACTTTCCCCCAATCTCCTGATGTTTTTCTCTGTATTCCTCTGCTGTTCCTTACCTCAAAGTATTAAAGAATAGAATGAGGCTCTTGAATGAAGGGTGGTGGGAGAAGGAAAGTGGATATTTTAAAATTGTGGTACACACCTCTTATTGCAACAGACCTTGGGAAGTATTTTTCCCCCCAGAGATTGAAGCCCATGGTGGGGGTGGGGATGCTTAGTAGCTTTTAGGACCTTGAGAATCAGGTATCCCTCTTTGTTCCAGATGGACGCCCTGTCTCACAATATGTATTTTCACAATTTCCACAGTTGCAGCCAGACAGGGAACTTGTAAAGCTGAGGCCGGATGGGTGTGTGTGCTGGGAGTTGAAGAGAATAAAGTGACACTGGGCCCCCACCTACGGATTGCTGCCTCTGTACAGACTCAAAATCAATAAAACAGCAGCTCATTAACTCTTACTTTGTATTTTATTTCCTGTCTTTTTCATATCTAAATATTCATACCCTAGTCCCCCTCACCTGCAGTCCTGCAGTTCCTTTACTTCCTTCCAATGCCCTTCCCCTACCTTTGCTTCTTGGGTTGCAAGGGGGTAGGGAGGAGGAATGGGATTGTTGAACTGAATAGAGGTTTCTAGCGCTCAGCTCTCAGAATCCTGAACATGAATTATTAATTTGGAGATCTGGTGTCTGGACTGGGGTCATGTATCAGGTGGGCTCCAGTTTCTAATTGGTTGGGGCAGTGTGTGTGTGTGTGTGTGTGTGTGTGTGTGTGTGTGTGTGTGTGCATGTGTGTGTGTGATGGATTAAGTTGGTGAGATCTTTTCCTTGGGCCTCCCACCTCCACCCTAGAACTCGCACATAAACATACCTGTACTTGTGTCTGCATCCTGGAGAGATTTCAATTTCTCGCCTTTTCCTCTGCACTGTACATATAAGGTATGTTTCATGCTCTGGAGAAGGATGAACAAAAACACTAATTCATCTCCATCCCTAATTCTTGGGTCTCCCCAAGCAAAATTATCCTGGGGTCCAATTTCCGTTTACTTCTCACCCCTTTTGGTAGTTCTGTCTGGAGAGGCTGTAAGAAGGCCTTAACTGTTTTTGTGTTCCTCCCACTTCCTCCACCCTCGCTCCTTTTAAGATAGTAAAAAAACAGCTTCCCAGGAAAGCCATCACTCAGTCTAGAGAAGTGGCTCAAATTGTTCCAGTTTAATATTCAGTATTACTGCTCCCCCTCAATCTCCAATTCTCATAAACAAGAAGTGAACAGGATTTGGGAGTAAGAGTAAAGAAGGGAATCAGTATTTTTCTCCACTTCCCCATGGATTCCTCACCCTTCCCAGGCTCCTCCAATTCCTTCCCACTTTCCCAAAATGGTGTGTATGCTCCTTTAAGGGGCTGGGCATCTCCCGCCCTCTCCGGAGTCGACTGAAGTTTCCGAGGAGCCTCCTCTAGCTGAACACAGCTTTCAAAGACCCCAAATCGTGCTACATGCACCTCAAACGTTCCTTTGCCCTGACAGTTCCCTTGCCCGGATCCCATCCCTGACTTCCTTCCTCTCAGCTACAAGATTCAGCCTCTCCCCAAGGGGCTTGAGCATCCTTGAAGTTTCCCACCTTTAACTGCTCCGTCCCCGGATGGAGCCGGAGAAATGTGGTGGGGGGGCAGGGGCCAGAGTTTCAACATCGCCCCCCAGAAGGAAGAGCCAGAGATGGGGGTAAGGAGAGGAAGTTGGGCTTGCGGGGAGGGTTGGTCGGTCAGAGGGTGTGAGTAGGGAGGATGTGGAAATAGAAGAAAAGGATCTAGAGCAAGAGGAGGGTGTGTCTCATATTCTCTGGCTGATGAAGCTTGGCCTGTCTTTTTCAGTCTCAAGTTCATCGTCTCATTATCCATTAACCAGCCCCTCCCTTCACTGTCTGCCAGCCCAGGTCCTGAGCTCCCCACAGCCACTGATCTCAGTTTCCCCTGAGTCTGAGTGTAGGCCTCTAAACGTGGCTGCTGAGTTAATCCAAGACCCCAGGGTTGGAGAGGCCTGGGGAATAACGCTACACCCTTCACAGCCCTCTGGACCACAGTCTGTCCAGGGGAGTGGAATGCCAGAGCCCAGGAATCCTCAACTTGGCAGCTGCCTGGTCTCTGGATGCCTCCCAGGTAATAATGTCCTTTCAGTACTTCTGATCTTCAGAAACGACTTCAAATTTCATCCTACTCAAATATTGCTTCATACCTTCACTAAAGGTACCTTCATATTCCTTTCCTGGCTCAAAGTGCTGCTTCTGCTTGAGGCTTCTCCTCTTCTCTGACAGAACTGTCTGGGAGCTTGGACCTTTATGACCCTGCTACCCCTTTTCTCATTTACTTTTTCAATAAATATGTAAGTGCCTTCTATGTGCCAGGCACTGTTCTAGACTCTAGAGTAAAAGATTACAAATTCTCTTCTCATAACCTTTCATTCTTAAGAGTTAGAGGAGGATCTTAATCTTTCCTCTTTAGATCCTCCTGTCTCAGAGTGGTTGTACACATGTGGGCAACACTGGAATGGTCATAACCTGGCTTTTCCTGTAGGGGAGCAGATCCTAGCATGGGCCCCAGGGGTGCGGAAGGGGCTGGAACCTGAATTGCCTGGAACCCTGATCTGTACCAACTTGAGGGTCACCTTCCAGCCCTATGGATGGCAGCGACATCAGGTGAGATGATTAGGCCAATGTAAATGACAGCTAGTGTAAATAGGTAGCAGAGTCTAGAAGGATTTAGACAAACATTACAGGAAGTGTGAGATTTCTATTTTGGAATTTTTTTTCTTTTTTTGTTAATCCTCACTTGAGGATATTTTTTCCATTGATTTTTAGAGAAAGTGGAAGGAAGGGAGGGAGGGGGAGAAAGATTGAGAGAAAGGGGGGCGGGGATATAGAGAAAGAGAGAGAGGGAGAGAGACAGACAGACAGACTGACACAGACATCGATTGGTTGTCTCTACATGCACCCTGACCAGGGTGGGGATTGAACCTGCAACCCAGGTATATACCTTGACTGGGAATCAAACCCTGAGACCCTTTAGTGTGTGGGTTGGTGTTTTAACTACTAAGCAACACCAGCTAGAGAGTTATTCTTAAAGGCTCTCTTTGGAATGCATCAGGGATATCAATGGGATCTCTTCTAGAAAGGTGAGGGGCTTCCGAGATAGGATGTGAGATGTCTTTAGCATATCATCTGCTTCCTCTAGGAGACTTCCCTAAGCAGTGATTATGATTTTGCCCTGGTCAACATTGGGCAATTAGAGGCTGGTAAGTGTGAGGGGGCTGGTCAAGGGGCTCCCTGGGGGTGTTGGCTACCCTACTCAATCCTTCCTCTATTCTTAGAGGACAGCAGGGATGCAGTGGGATGGGCATGAGGAGTTCCTCCTAGAGGGACCCTGATCCATGGCTACACTGCTCTCTAACTCTTGACTTCAGTGAGTAGCCTGTCTCGAGTCCAACTCCACCGTCCAGGGTCCCTGCTTAAATTTATCCCTGAGGAGATCCTGATTCACGGCCGAGACTTCCGGCTGCTCAGAGTTGGTTTTGAGGCTGGAGGACTAGAGCCTCAGGCCTTTCAGGTAAGAGGCTCTCAACCTAAGAACCCCTCCTTCCCTGGGAACCTTGGGATCCTTTCCCTGGCAATTCCCAGTGCTCCCTTATTTCCTAGGACCCCTTTCATCATTCGCTCTGCCTCTTTCCTCAAGGAGTGGCTAAAAGGCTGGGATAAATGATAGTATAATGAGAATACTGGGCCTGAATTCTAGCCTGCCTCTGCCAATTAACAGGTGTATGAATGACTGTGGGCAAGTGTCTTCCTTTGAAAAATAGGGAGGGTTGGAGGAGAATATTCCTAATTCCTTCCAGAATTACCATTCTGTGATTCTAGATCTATTTTCTTGACCCCAGTCCCCATGACTAAGAAGCTCCCTTTGTTAGGGACTGTGTTATTGTTCTCTGTTGGTGGCAAAGACAATGAAGCAACACACCCTATTTCCTTTTCACTTCAGTCTGAGCCAAAAGGATGATGTACTTTCCTCCCCAGGTGACTATGGCCATTTCCCAAGCCAGAGCTCAGAGCAGTCAAACCCAACAGTACTCAGGGATAGCCCTGAGCAAGACTGGTAAGTGAGGGTGCTCTGGGATAAGGAAAAGATAGAGACTGAAAAATTAGAGACTGGTTGAAGACAAAAAGCTGAGAAGCTGTCTTCTTTCTCTTCTGTGCCTCACTCCTGCCCTAGGCCAGAGTTCTGGCTCCAAAAAACCACCTATACCCCTCTTGGAGACATCAGAAGACTGGGAGACTGAGAGGAACAGGCAGGGTGCCAAAGGCTGGCGGGTTAGTCTTGTCAATGAGAGATTCGACGTAGCCACCAGGTGATCCCCTAGTCCACCCCAACTGCTGTAGCCTTTCTTATCCTCCCATAGTTCTCTGACTCTTAAGCTATGCTTCCCACACACTCCACAAAGCAATCCTTTCCTCCAAGGTCTCTAGATATGATATCACTTGGAATGATCACCTCCTAAGCACCTTACTTGTAAACATGGGTTTGCGTTATGAGATAAAAATGTGACATAACTCTCAATTTCACAGCCTCCCCCGTTACTTCTGGGTCCCTAACCGAACTCTGGACAGTGAGGTCAGGAGAGCATTTGGCCACTTTCATCAGGGCCGTGGACCGGTCAGTGTGAGGGGTGGAAATTAGGAGGTTTGGGGAGGTCAGGGGTCATTGAAGGGAGGGAATCCCTCAGGTCAGTGTGGGGGCAAGGGTAAGGTGGGGCTAAGAGTTTCTCCCACAGTGATTCTCCTCTCACCCATTTGAAGCGCCTGTCCTGGCATCACCCTGGGGGTAGTGATCTTCTCCGCTGTGGAGGTTTCTACACAGCCAGTGACCCTAACAAGGAGGATATCAGGTGAGGGAAATCTTATGAGAATTAAAGGTTAGATGTTCAGAGCAGACTCCTTCCCTTACTTTCTGACTCTTTCTTCTCCAGAGCAGTGGAGTCTATGCTCCAGGCTGGGCATTCTGACGTTGTCCTGGTCGACACTATGGATGAGCTGCCTAGTCTTGCAGATATCCAACTTGCCCATTTGAGGCTGAGGGCCCTCTGTCTGCCTGGTAAGAATAACCTTTAACCTTTTACCCCACTTGTAGGTCTGCTGACCCTAACCTGGCTTTCCATTTGCCTGATATAGATGAGCAACCACCATTCAGCCCAATGAGCCTTAGTTTTCTACTCAACTCTCCCATCACCCACATACTAATTTCCTGTCTTCCAGACCCCAACGCATTCTTTTGTTAATAGCTTTGAGATACTAGAAGGCCGATGCACGAAAATTCATGCAAGAGTAGGCCTTCCTTCCTCTGGCTGCCAGCACCAGCTTCCTTCGGGCATTCGGGACCCGGGCTTCCCTCCTCCAGCCACCACAGACACCTGGGACCTGGGCTTGCTTCCTGTGGGCCCTGGCTTGGTCAGGAAGGACGTCCAGAATGACATTTGGAAGCCATCTGGTCTAATTAGCATATTACCCTTTTATTATTATAAATAATTTACATAGCATAAAAATCATCCTTCACCCATAAGTATACAATTCAATAAATTTACTATTTTGTACAAACATTACCACAATTTTAACTTTTGAAACCTCATGGCCATTTATATAGTTACTTTTCATTCCTATTCCCAGTCCAAGGCAACCACTACCCAACTTATTTTTAACCCTTCAGGCTATAGACCCTGAATCCTGAATCCCGAGTTCTTCTGATCTCTTTGCCCTTCTGACCCCTCTACTATCCATCAGATTCATCTGTATCTGAGGATAAATGGCTCTCAGCCCTGGAAGGAACACGATGGTTGGACTATGTCAGGTACTCCCTCTTTTTCTAAAAATGACTTATAATTCAACCCTCCCCAAATTTCTGTTAACTTGGATTCCTAAGTGGCCTTCTATTAATTTTTCACCTTTGTTTCCCAAGAAGGCTGTTATTTCATGCTCCTTAGAAGGAGAAGGCAGGATTTTGGGGTTGGCCTCTATTCTATCCCATGACCCCTCACTCCTCTTTTCCAGGCTTATTCTTCCCTCCTCTTCCTCACCTGCAGGTCTTGCCTTCGAAAGGCCAGTGACATTTCAGTCTTAGTGACATCAAGAGTTCGCTCTGTAGTACTTCAAGGTGAGTTTCTTGGGTCAAATCACTTCATTACTTGAGTTTTTCCTTTATCTACCTAACTGGATTGGGCTCAAGGAGCAAAATATAATATATAAGGCGGGGGTGGGGAACCTTTTTTTTTCCGCCAAGGGCCATTTGGATATTTATTACATCATTCTCAGGCCATACAAAATTAGCCTGCTATATGTGTTCAAACACTTAATTTATTCACCCCTAGTGCCTTGGCAGAGCCAGACCAAATGATTTCATGGACCTTATATAGCCCACAGGCCAGACATTCCCCACACGTTATAAAGCTTATCCCCTTCTAGTGCTAGCAATCCTCTTCTTCCTTTACTAGGAACTACCCATGAGCTCCTACTCATCCTTTAGTACTACCTCTGCCTCCCCACCACAGCTTGTGGTCCCTAACATAAGGATTCTCTGCCCTCTGTTCCTATTCTTCCAATATGGATAGGGATTGGGGTTGGGATGGGAAGGACAATATGGAAGCTGATTTGAGATTTATAATGCTGCCCCCTACATGTGAGGCTGGGTATTTCTATCCAGGTGGAGTCTAGAAAGTGAATCATTCAAGGTCTTTGTTTTTTCTTTATTTCTATGTGCCTTCTCAATTCTACCTATCCAAAACCTTTCCCCCTCTGTGCTTCTCACTTCTTGCCATGTTTTCTTTTCTCATTCTCTTCTGCCCTAGTTTCTTGGCACCTCCTTCTTTATCCTTTCTCCCTCTTTATCACCAGAGCGTGGCGATCGTGATTTCAATGGCCTCCTCTCTTCACTGGTCCAGCTGCTTTCAGCCCCTGAAGCCCGAACACTGTTTGGCTTCCAATCACTAGTGCAGCGAGAGTGGGTGGCAGCTGGACATCCCTTCCTGACCCGACTTGGGGTAACTGGGGTCGGTGAAAAGGTGAGAACATTTTGTGAGGGTATTGGGATGGGGACCAGTATTACTTAAAAAGAGGATCAGAAAATGATATAGTATAGTCCATTGGACATGAATAAGGTCTGAAGGGTCATGAGGTTAGGCTGAGTTTGAAGGGAGAACTCAGATGAATGAGGGACCACACTCCCTATTATGATCAACTCAGATTTCCATTTCCTGATCTCCATAGTAGCCCTGGTTCCCTATGTCCCTCTCATTTGTCATCTTCCCCTCTTAGCTTCCTATAGTCCATTCCATTCTCTTAATTTACCTTTTTTTTCAGGCCCCGGTGTTTCTCCTCTTCCTTGATTGTGTCTGGCAGCTCCTGCAGCAGTTTCCAGCTGAGTTTGAATTCTCCGAGTTTTTCCTTGTTGCTCTTCATGACAGTGTCAGGGTTCCTGACACACTTACATTCTTGAGAGACAATCCCTGGGAGCGTGGAAAGCAGAGTAGACAGGTCAGTGACTTCCATTTTTCACTTGTCTTCCACATTCCTCCACCTCCCATTGAGAAGTACTTCACAGAGTATAGTCTTGATTAGGAAAAGTGAGGTCTGTGGGTTAGAAAGGGGAAGGTTGGTGCTCTCTCTTAGGAATGGACTTTCATCCTAAATATGATTCTTATTCCAGGAATCATATGTAGGGTGAATCATATGCTCATTCCTGAGCATTTCACAATTTCTCTCTAGACCTGTGAGAAGGGATATACACACACACACACACACACACACACATCCACTAGACACTCAGATTCGTGCACCAGTGGGGTCTCTCGGCCTGGCCTGATATCACCTGAGCGGTCCCAGATGGCAAAAGGGTGCAGGCCAGGCCAAGGGACCCCACCGGTGCATGAATCCATGCACAGGGGCTCTAGATGCATGTAAGATCTTTGGTTAATCTCTCTCTGCCCTTCTCCACTCCCTTTCCCTCTGAGATTCATCAGTCTGTTCCATGTTTCCATGCCTGTGCATTGAGCGTCTGCTCCCTGGTGGTCAGTGTGTCATAGCTACCCATCAAAAGGTCGGTTACTTAGGCTTTTATATCTATAGATTTTTTTTTCTTTAACCACCTTTTTTTGTTTTCCTCTGTACAGTTCAACTCCTATACGCAAGTCTATACCCCAGGGTACTCCCACCCCCCAGATGGGAACTCTATTAACGCACAGCTCTCTGTCTGGGACTGGGATTTACGCTACAGCAAGGAACAGATACTACAATTCCATAATCCTGGCTATGACCCCGAACACTGCCAAGATTCCTGGCTCCCTAGACAGCAGGTGATGTGTCTGAACTCCCTAAAATCCCTTGACTTTTTCACAGGCTCATCCTACTAGATGGGGGGTGGTGGGTAGAAAGATATAGTGTCTAAGTTCCTCAGGGAAAGCTATCCTACTCCTACAACTATCACTTATTGTTCCTATCCCCAGGAAGACAGAAATCCTAGAATAGCAGTGGGTATTCTTTTGGTCCTCATCATCTTGTCTCATACATACATTTTACAAATTTCCCTAAAATCAACTTTAATCAGTCCTAAGGTCTGTTTTGAAACCTAATGAAGAGGAAAAATAGAGTTCTCAGTGGGAGGCTTGTAGTTCCACCACCAGTGCAGTGAGTAGCAGCTGGACATTCCTTCCTGACCCAATTTGGGAAAACTGGGTTCATCTGGCTTCTAGGTCACGTTGATTTTCCTTTCTCCTTTAGCCAAGCTTCATGGTTCCTGGACCTCCCAGTTCTGTGTGGCTCTTCTCTAGAGGGGCTCTGACTGCCCTGAATCAGCTCTGTCCTTGGCGCGACAGTCCTTCCCTGCTGGCAGTCTCTTCACGTTGGCTCCCTCGACCTGCTATCTCTTCGGAAAGTCTAGCTGATCAAGAGTGGGGGCTCCCCTCCCATTGGGGAGCTTGCCCTTTACCCGCAGGGCTGCTGCTGCCTGGGTATTTGGGACCCCAGATCAGGCTCTGGAGACGCTGCTACCTAAGGGGAAGGCCTGAGGTCCAGGTGAGAAGAGAAGACAGGGACTGGGAGTGGGAGAAGGGTTTGACTGCTGAGCCAGATATTATAGGAGAAACAAGATGTTTTAGGAGAAACCAGATGTTTCCAGGAGCTGGAAAAGCAAGAGGCTGGGGAAATTGGGAAGTGAAGAACCATTCATGTTGGTATCAAAGTGGCTAGGTTTGAGAGTATGGGTAGGTGGAGAAAACTGCTTGGGGCTCAGATCAAGTAAAACCTAGGGCATAATTGGAGGGGGAAAGAGAATTAAAGATGCCAGAAGAAATGGACAGGTTTCAGAAGCAGAGAGCTAGATCTGCAATAATACTGTTCTTCTGCTTCTCTTCACTCCCTTCCCAGATGGGCCTCTCAGCTCCCACCATCACTGGCCTCCAGGATGAGCTATCCTGTCTGCAGGAGCTATTAAAGAAATGGACTCCAAGAATATCTCCCGAGGATCACTCCAACAAAAGAGACCCAAATCCCATTCTCTCTCAATCCTGTTGAAATTGCTAGCTTTCTTATGGGCAGGGCAAAAGGTGGTCTGGGGTGAGAGAGGGTTCTGTCTAATCCTTTCCATTTTTCTCATCTGGTCTTGCTGCCTCAGCTTTCACATTCCAGCCTTCAAACAAGATCTAACTTTGCAGATGGGTGGTGCTACCAACAACTCTTGCTCTGTCCTGTTTAGTTCCTCAAGATTGTATATAGTGTCTTGTTATTTGAACAAAGAAACAAAAACAAACCAAAATATGATCACCTCTCTCTTTTCTGGCAAATTCCATCCCTTTTGGATATCCAACTATTAATTTTGAGTTCAGACCTCATTTTCACCTCCTTTTGCTGTTTCTTTAATTCCAATTTCTACTTCTTCCCTTAGAGCTTCCTATGGGCATGGAGTGGATATGGGAAACATCCTGTCTCTTCCAATTGTACATTTTTATGTAGTGAATTTCTGTTTAAGGAGTTCATTAAAGCGCAGTATTTATACTTGTTGCTGGCATTGTTTCTTGTGTCTGAATCAAGGATCCTAAGTGAGTGGGGTAGGTGCAGGGTGGGTGTGGCCCAAGAGAGAATTGCACTCACCAAGTTATTGATAAATAAGGGATGGGTCAGGTGAGGCTCTGCAAACTTCACAATTTGGAAAGTTTTCTTCTCCGCGCCTCCCATTTAGGAACAGGTGGTGCAAAAGCACGCCAATTCTGTGGTTGCTGGGGCCAGGAATGTTCGGGAGGTCGAAGCCTCTGGGCTTCAATGTCAACCACCCCTCAGCTGTGGTCACACCCCATCTCTAAGCCTCAGGTCCCCCGGAACCCCCTCAATAATGACCGCGAGGCGAGCTGAGACGTCTTCAGCTGCGACGCTCTGCAACTCCTCCCTTGAAGGAGACAAAAAAACTAACTCAAGCCCAGGTCGGCGCCGCGGGACGGCGTGGAGGGCTGCCTCCGCGCAGTCCTTGGGTGTGGGAGTTGCTCGGCACACCCTTCTCTGGGGAAACAACATATATGAAAAGTAAAATTTTGTTCCTTTAGTTTTCGAATTTACATTTTGGAAACAGCGTGATCCTGCAACGTCTCACTCAACCTTGAGTGGGTCTGGCCGGTCCCGTCCTGCCTCCCTCGCCCGTGGCGCTCGCGGTCACCTCAGCGTCAGCGGACGCCCCCGCCGCACCCGTTAACAGCGGCTCCTAAGATGGCCGCGGCCGCTTCCGGCTCCTCCCACCGCCAAGGCCCGCCCACCCGCTACGTCGGCCTTCGCCCCGGAAGTGGAAGTAGTGACTGACGTCGGAGGGCGGAGTCGCTGCCTGGAGACGGCGGGAGCTCTTTCACCATGGCGGCCGGGCCGATCTCCGAGCGGAACCAGGGTGATTGGAGGGAACGAGGCGGGAATGGGCTTAGGGGGTTGGGAGGCCCCTCTATGGCCACCAGAGTTTCCGTCCGGGCGGGAGACTGAGATTCTCCGGGGCGGGGGAGCGCGACCGGCCCGGTGCCGGCGTGGGGCGGGGAGGCCGGGTTCAGGCTAAGGCCTGTAAGTGGGATGCTTTCTATGTCCCATCTTCTGCCTTCCCGCTGATTAAAAAAAAAAAAAAAAGTTGTAAAGAGAATTTGCAGCAGAACCAAGTTAGACTTAAGAAGGCTCTGTAGTTCCTGTAGAAAGGGAGGTGTCTGGGCTTAATCTAACGGGTCTTTTGTGGTTGTCTTTTTGCTCCTCTACCCTGTCTCCACCCCCAAATTACCCCGCTTGATTTTCACCTTCATATGCCTGTCATTTCATCTCGTTTCCTGTCGATTCATCTCTGCCCTAACCTTCTCCCGTCGTCCAGATGCCACTGTGTACGTGGGGGGCCTGGACGAGAAGGTGAGCGAACCGCTGCTGTGGGAGCTGTTTCTCCAGGCCGGGCCAGTGGTTAACACCCACATGCCAAAGGACAGAGTCACTGGCCAGCACCAAGGTGAGTTCGTGGCAAGTGGGGTTATTTATGTATGGAGGGGACAAACTGTGCTTTGAGAATCCCAGCAGTATTCACGACTGTTTTGGAATAAACAACCTGTCTCTCAAGTCTGTGCACAGTTTGTTTTCTGGGACTGTTCTCAATTGAAGAGAGGTTATTATTTCTTATTTTTTGGTGATTTCAAAGGTGGATGAGCTAGACCCCATTTTGCACCACTTTGCTTAAGTTAACCTTCTTTTCACTTCTCCAGGCTATGGCTTTGTGGAATTCTTGAGCGAGGAAGATGCTGACTATGCCATTAAGATCATGAACATGATCAAACTCTATGGGAAGCCAATCCGGGTGAACAAAGCATCAGCTCACAACAAGAACCTGGATGTGGGGGCCAACATTTTCATTGGGAACCTGGACCCGGAGATTGATGAGAAGTTGCTGTACGATACTTTCAGCGCCTTCGGGGTCATTTTACAAACCCCCAAGATTATGCGGGACCCTGACACAGGCAACTCCAAAGGCTATGCCTTTATTAATTTTGCTTCGTTTGATGCTTCGGACGCAGCAATTGAAGCTATGAATGGGCAGTACCTCTGTAACCGCCCTATCACTGTGTCCTATGCCTTCAAGAAGGACTCCAAGGGTGAACGTCATGGCTCAGCAGCCGAACGGCTTCTGGCGGCTCAGAACCCACTCTCCCAGGCTGATCGCCCGCATCAGCTGTTTGCAGATGCCCCGCCGCCACCCTCTGCCCCCAATCCTGTAGTGTCATCACTGGGATCTGGGCTTCCTCCACCAGGTAGAGCTTTTGATTCAAAACATGTTGGTTTTGGGTTTGGTGGGTAGGGCAAGCAAAAGGACAAAGGATAATAAAGGAGGACTTTGAGTCTTGGGTGGTGAGAGGATTGAAGTGCAATGGTTGCGATGGGGAGAAAAGTTGCTGTTTCTCCAGGAAGTTGAAGTTGTTTGTATCGGCTAACATTGCTTTTTTTTTAAGAGAGCTGGGAGGAGGAGAGAACTCATCCTACATGGAGAGGCCACACTGAATCAGGCTCGTTAAAGACATTCTCTCCTCACTGTCATTAATTCTTCTTCCTTTTCCTCTGTAGGCATGCCTCCTCCTGGCTCCTTCCCACCCCCAGTGCCGCCTCCTGGAGCCCTTCCACCGGGGATACCCCCAGCCATGCCCCCACCACCCATGCCTCCTGGGGCTGGAGGACATGGGCCCCCTTCAGCAGGAACCCCGGGGGCTGGACATCCTGGACACGGACACACACATCCTCACCCATTTCCACCCGGTGGGATGCCCCATCCAGGTAGGTGTTTGCTGGGAAAGGGAGGGATGAGCTTGAAAGAGGATCTCTATCACCACCTATGCTGCTCCCCTTTTTCCTTTAACAATAATAGATAGTTCCAGAGCTGAATTTTCAGACATTATTTTATAAGAAGAAACACAAAATACTCTGTTTAACAACTACCACCCTGTCTCTGTTTACCTTTTTTTAAAGGGTATAACTATATTTACTGTTTTTTTTGTTTCCTTAACTTATACTTCCTCTGACTTTTACCCCAAAGCAATGAGTGATCTATTTGCCAAATCTAGGGGACACTTCTGCACCTTGTCTAGTTTGACCTTTGTTCTTACTCAGAACTAGCCATGCCTTTTTAAAAAAAAAAATTTATTGAATTTATTGGAGCATTGGTTAATACAATGATATAGGATTCAGGTGTACAATTCTGTAATACATCCCCTCACCATTTATCCCGTTACCCAGTTCTGCCTCCCTCCACCCCTTTCCTTCTGGTAATCAATACTGTTTGTGTTTATGAGTTATCTATGTCTTTTTGTTTGAAAAGCTTATCTCTTGATTTCTCTGGATCTTTATCTTTCTGTCTCCTCAAGCTCAGCCACTTTAGTAGACTCTCTTTTTCTGTTTGTGTAGCTTCATTACTTGCACACCGATGCCTCCTGGATCTGTATCTCTGATTCATGATTATTAACATTCTATACACTTAATCCTGCTCCTGAATGAACAGCTCCACTTTTCTAGCTGTCCATTCAGCAGCAGGATTAAGTATATTCTTCCTCTAGTATTCTTTGTTTGCAGGTGCTTAATTCAGAAATCTTGGAGCTATGTTTGACTATTCTATCTGTGGCATCTGCCCTGACTGCCAGTGCCTGATTTCAGGCTCTGATACCCTTACTAGAGGCTCGATGCACAAAATTCGTGCAAGAGTAGGCCTTTGTAGCCCCGGCTGCCTCGTGTAGCGCCTCTGGTCCTTCCAGAAGGTTGTTCTGTTGTCTCATTAGCATATTAGTTCTTAAATATATAGAATTCTTTCTTTTTTTACTTTTGTTAATCCTCACTCAAGGGTATTTTTAGAGAGTGTGGAAGGGAGAGAGGAGGGAGGAGGAAAGAGAGAGAAACATTGATTGGTGCATGTGCTAACAATCTAATTACTGACCCACACTGGTGAGGGCATCGTACCCTCATTATTTCACATCTAATTTATCGTAGAAACTTCCTCTCACTTTGACTCCAATTTTCTCTATCTTTGAGAGTTTCACAGAGTTATTTTTCTAAAACACATATTTGTACATACTTACTAAAAATTATTCGGTTGTTTCCTTTCATCTACAAACAAGTTCCAGACTCATTGCCATAGCATTCTAGGCTTTTCTTGTTCTGGCCCATGGTTAACGAAATTACTGGTTCTCTTGGAACTTTGTTGCTTAACACACCTATGATTGTAATCTTTTCTGCCCTTGATGTTCTGTTCCTCTTCTGTCCATCTGAAAAATTCTTATTCATCCTTTGAAAATAGGTCTTTGCTCAGATAGTATCTCTGCCACCTTTCCAAATTCTATCAACAGACTGACTAATTTATCGGTTATGAGGTCCGAAAGGTTGGTGACTGCTGGACTAATTCACTCCATTTATCAAGTACTTCTGCAGCACTATTAGTGCCTAAACCATGGAAAGAGCAAGTGAGGTGGGGGAGGAATTGCTTGGGTAGTTGGTTGGGATGCGTTCAAGGATAGAAGCACTTTTTAATCAGCCTT